AGACGTGAAGGGAGTGCCAGCTCCCCCATTTTGGTGTTCATTTGCGAGACCCACCACAGGAAGCGTCCGCTCAACAGCTTCATCAGTGATGACTTGCCGGATCCAGGCTGGCCAAGCACCAAAGTGATAGTGCCGGGTTTGAAGACGCCGCTGACGTTCTTGAGGACCTGCTTCTTCACAACTAGCGTGCTGGACCGAATCTCACGGAACCCGGTCTTGATGACGTTGGTTAACGTAGGCAGCTCGACCGTGATGTCGCTCTCGTCCTTGACCATGATGTCTGCTGAGATGGACATGTCCTGGAAGCGCAATTCCATCTGCGGGAGGTTCTTTCCTAGCGCCTTCTCCATACGGGAGGCGACAGCGCCTGCGGTCCCAGTGCCATGAGCGTTTTGTCATTGTTGTACTCAATGGAGGCGCTCATGGACACGTCTGGCGTTTTGGGGGGCATGTCTGCTACGAGTCCGATCCCGTTGAAATGGTATTCGACTTGGAAGTAGGATTCAAATTGCAAAATGGTATATTTATCGAGCGAGGAGTGCTGCGTTAAACCTTCATTGCGGGCCGGATACTACAGGTACATTCAGACATCGGATGAAGTATAGTGCATGGACAATGTTCCGGACAAAGCACATTGCTTACGGTGTACCCGGGAATCAACATTTTTAGAGTGACGGTCATTTACACGGAAATAAACGATCGTCACTCTGAAAATGTTGATTCCCCTGTAGGCAGGTCAATTGCGTCGTCGTCCCATCATGATCTTCTAGGAGAGGGGTTATCATCTCCGCTGGGACGAGATTATATTTTCGAGTGCAATAATCAGTGAGTGCAACTACCGTTTTATGTAATTACCCCCTTCAGGCTTGTTGAAGTTGCCTCCAAACATGATGATTATTCTCAGTTAAAACCTCTCAGAAATATTATATGTAGTTCTAACAGGTCCTTTCTAACTTGCTACAGTCTATTGTCAGTTAGCACCAGTCCACTAATGATTGGTTTGTAGCTAGATGACGCCTTAACTTCAATCAACCTCTAAATAGACTTCTGTCCCTCAGTCATCACCGACTCGGTGGCTTCTGACGCGGCTTTTATCGCATTCTCAAATTTGAGAAAGAACTCGGTCAGGTCTGATCCTTACTCATACTTGATCTCCATCAAGTAGTGTTGGATGAAGTACGGATCGCCATGAAAGCCTGCTCCTTCGTACTTCTGACAGATGAAGTTGAAGATGTCGTGA